TACGTATATATGTCTATATATTATGTATATATATATATGTATATATGTGTGTATATATATATATATATATATGTGTGTATATATATATAAGTATGTATATGTTATAATGTATATATATGTATATATATATATATGTATGTATATATGTATGTATATGTATGAATATATGTATGTATATATATATAAATAATAAATAATATAATAAAGAATATATATAATAACTAAATATATAATAAAGAAATAAAGAATAGACCCAAAGACAAAAGAAAAGAGAAAGAAAAAATTAAAACCAACCAGAGAAAATTGATGAAAATAAAGTTGAAAATTATGAGAAAAGATAAAAAAAAGGTCCAGAGAGAAAACTTACCTTAATAATATTAGCGGCAACGACAATTTTACAGACCGCACGAGAACGTACAGATACAATACAAATATATTGTGGGTACGGGTTGACCAAAATGACATGTACGTCCTAAATTTGGGTACGGTTTGACCAAAGTGGGTACGGGTTGGTATGGGTACGTGTTGGTTTGGGTACGGATTGACCGACACCCGATCTACCCAGTAGCCTCTAAGGCTAGTCTAAGCCTAACTAGAGCCTACGCCTAGCTAGGCCTGAGCTAGGCTAGCCCTAGCCTGGGCAGGCCGGTCGGTAGGTTTCTTAAGCAATGCCATGGTAAGCCTTAGCCTACATAACTACCTATTATGATAAGCTATAATCACACTGACAAATAATATAGGTTTACCTCAAAGTCTTTCCAATATTCTTGCTCTTTAGTTACATTTTTCCCACCACGTGGAAACCTTAGATTTGTTGTTTTCTTGAACTCCGCCATCTTTCGCCCATGGTCGTCAGAGAGTCTAGTCGATCGTCGCATGCGTGTCGTCGGTATGGAACGCCGTTAGTATCTTCGGTTATGTGCAAACACTCTATTATGTGCAATGGTCATTATGTTATGTGGTTTGGTCATTATGTTACGTGGTTTGATCATGATGTTATGTGGTTTGGTCATTATGTTACGTGGTTTGGTCATTATGTGGTTTGGTCATGATGTTATGTGGTTTCTCATTATGTTACAGTATTTGGTTTGCACATTATGTTATTAGTTTCGACATGACGTTCAGACGTCCTTGCGCAGTATGTGAAAAAGTGTGAATAAGAAGACGGCTGTACAAGTAAGTCTATATCAAGTTTCATTCATCACGTGCACATCGGCGCTGCTGAAGTGGCGACGGAGCTCGTTTTGGTGGAGCTGTTGGTGCCTTTTTAAAACAAATTACTCAGTTTAACATTTAGCAACAGTACGCTAATTTTTGGATGGCAAGCAGGGGCGGATTTAGGCCCCCCCCCCTTTTTGGGAGGTAAAAAAAAGGGGAAAAAAAGAAAGAAAAAGGAAAAAGGATAGCCCAGAACGCCTCAAATGTTATTTTCGGGCGTCTAAAACACAGAAATTTCGCGGGGGAATGCCCCCGGACCTCCTATTTCAGTGTTGTCTCGATCGGCCCAAATTTCGCCCCCCCCCCTTTTGGACATCCCTGGATCCGCACCTGTAATGTGTTTCTTTATCTACTTTTTGAACGTCGTGATTGATATTGTATTGTGCTACCATGTTGTTGAAGCAAATTATGTGCTTTTTTGGTGTTGTTTAATCGTTGTTTTGGATCACCGCCTGAGTCAACGATCACCTACACAAACTAACTGCTAGGCCTAGCCTAGTTATGCAGGAGCAAAGCCGTTGCACCCCACCGCTGCCAGACAAACACAAGTGGCCTAAGATCGTAAAACGCAGAAAGAGAGGGAAAGCAGGAGGAATCATGAAACGCTTTAAAAATAGGAAAAGTAGACCTTACATCCCATCTATTATTATTGGAAACGTGCAGTCACTGGACAATAAAATGGGCAAACTAATGGCAAACGTGCGATACATGAACGAATTTAGGAAAGTAGTCTTATGTCATATACCGAGACTTGGTTGAAAGAAAAACACAGGGATGAGCATATGGATATTGATGGATTTAAATTAATCAGAAGTGATCAAACGTTGGAATCGGTTAAGAAAAAGGAGGTCTGTGTGCATATGAGAATAGCCGATATTGTCACCCAAATAATATAACAATTAAGGCGCATACATGCATACCGGGGAGTGAAATAATGGTAACTAGTATACGGCCATTTAACATTCCTAGAGATTTTTCGCACGTAGTTGTTATCACGGTATATGTTCCTCATAGAAACCTTGCTAAGAAAGCTTCAGATTTACGACGCCATTTTAAATAAAGTTGAAGTGGAATCCCCTGACGCATTGATTATAGTAAATGGCGATTTTTGTAATTTAAGGAAAAGTAGTGTTTATTACTACCAATATATCAGCTGTGCGACCAGGAATGCCGGCCAACTGGACCTTCGTTACTCGAATGTAAAGAACGCATACATGTCAATCAAGCTACCATGTCTCGGCAATCATAACCTCGTACTGCTAAGTACCAAATACTTACCGTTGAGTGGGACGCAAAAACCAAAGAAAATCATTGTTAAACAATGGACAGATGAATCTATACAGCACTTACAAGGTGCTCTGGAGTGTACAGACTGTGACATGTTTAAAGAAAATTGTAAAGATCTTACCGATCTCACTCAAACATTTTGTGACTATATTGATTTCTGTTGTGAAATTACAGTTCCCAAAAAAGTTGTTAAAAGTTTTCAGTAACAATAAACCATGGATTACTAAAAATGTTCAAGCCATTATTGAAAGAAAGAAAGTAGCCTTTAATGAAAATGCTAGAAATAAACTTAAAGATATCCAAAAAGAACTTAAAACTATTATACGTAAAGAAAAAAATAATTACAGAATGAAGGTAGAAAATCATTTTACAGAAAATAACATGAAAATTGTATGGAAGGGCATGCGCTTGATGAGTAGTTTTATGCATAAAGACAAGAGTAATAAAGTAAGATGTTTTCCTGACTTATCTGTGCAATATGCTACCGAATTGAACAATTTTTTAACGGATTTGATTTAGATGATTTTTCCGTAGAGAGGCAGATCCAAACAAATCTAATTAATTCACTAAGTGATGACTTCACTCTCAAAATTATTATAGCTTATATACATTTATATAGTTTCGAACTAGATAAACCTTGCTAAAAAGGTACACTTTCTCCATCAAAAGGAATTTTTTTGAATGGAATGACCTGTTCGAAGCACGAACTCCTGTAGACTAAACCCGGTGCCGTTACGATTAATCGTGCAGGAAATCCACTCACTATGTCTTTGATTTTTTTCTCTCTATAGAGGCCTGAAGAATGAGATAATACCGTATTAAGTACGGTACTTTCTAAGTAATTAAGTTTATACTGATTTTGTTATTGTTGCCCATCCTATACAATTGTGCATCAGTTATTTAAGAGAAGCAATAAAGTTACTAACTGATCTTTTCAAGAGTAGAAAAACTTGAATTTTAAAGAACTTAAAGGTCATTAAAAAAAGGTTCATTTCCGGCCTAGGAATAACAATTTTTCATTTTGAAGCACCCTCTTTCAAATCCTGGATCCACCCCTGATTATTATGTGGTGGTAATACCTCATCACAGACAGTGCCTGGGTCAATAACAGTTGGATGGATGATGTTTTTTCTCATTTATCATGAAAATCCGGGATTTTAAGGTATCAAGATGGATGTTTTCCTCATCATTACCTAACTCTCATTTGCTTGTGAATGTATTTGAAGTTCGTGTGGAAAAATACTAAGTAAAGTACAATATTTTGAAAGTTACTTTGGTGTTTCCGATTTTTTCTTTTTCCTATTGTTTTATACATTAATTTGTTTGACTGAAGAGAAAACGTTATATTTACATACCAGACTGAGGAAGGGCTGGGGAACATAGTCAAAGCAAACAAATCATTAATCATATCTTCTCATTTAATAAGAATGACATATGCCAAATACCAATGAATGGATGGATGAATGTTTATAATGAATAGTCTTCTAATATAGGGAGGCCTATAAAATATTTTTCTTATAAACTCCCATGCTTTTTCTTTTATCAACATTCAAAATACTAGCGTGATTTAAAGTAAACTTTTTAAAAACCCACAAAATATATAGCATATTTTCCAATAATGTTATTCTTATAAAGTCTTGCCTTTATATTTCGTTTAAAAACGGATATAATAATTTGACTTTATGTATTCTTTTCCAAATACAGGTCTTAAATTACTGTTTTTATATGCTGACATCACTCATGCATCCACAACAGACGCTAGGGGCGTTTTCCTCATACAGCGGATAGGGCGTCACGCTGACTCACGTATATTAAAAATAGCAGTGGACTCTCTTCTGTTACAGTATACTCTTTGCTTGTATGAAATAAGACTCTGTGCTGTGGTAAAAACGCTAGTGTGGTCTTCCCGCTCGCTCTCGGCCAATCAAAAGTTTTAAATGAAAGTTGATATAGGCTTACTTGTACAGCCGTCTTCTTATTCACACTTCTTCACATACTCGCAAGGGCGTCCGAACGTCATGTCGAAACTACATAACATAATGTTCAAACCACATAACATAATGATCAAACCACATAACATCATGACCAAACTACATAATATCATGACCAAACCATATAACATAATGAGAAACCACATAACATGATGACCAAACCACATAACATGATGACCAAACCACATAACATAATGACCAAACCACATAACATTATGATCAAACCACATAACATAATGACCAAAGCATATAACGTCATGGCGATTGCACATAATAGTGTTTGCACATAACCGAAGATACTAACGGCGTTCCATAGTCGGCGCGGCGCGGAAGATTGGTGGAGACGCTGAGGGCGCACTCCACTGGCTTCTTTCTTTAGATGAGCGAGGTATTTAAGTTATACCAAACAGGTCGGTCACTCATGGTTGACCCTACTATATTAAATATATGTTTTACCAATCACAGATATGTTATTGATTATGTTTGCATCAAAACACAGATTAAAAATATTCAAAAATGTAAATTGATGTAAAAAAAATGTTTACTTTCATTTTTTATTTAGAAATTATTATTTTTTATTAGTACACAAATCAAATGTTGCGAAAATTGAGAATTAAGAAGCCATTTTGTGTCAAACGCGATGCCTTTCTGTGTTTAACGTGATGTGCGTTCCTGTGTATAATATTGTATAATACAATTAGCTGCCTCTTGTATAGTTAATTCCATATAATCATTTTAGCAGTTGAATTTCATTTAACTATATTTATAGATTATTTTTATGATTTCACTACTTAATATATAATTTCATATTATAAATACTGTAATAATTTACTCTTTTTAAGCAGTTCTTTAATCATTGCCGATTGACCGAGAGAGCCCCTCGATGGCAAGCATTCTTCAATTAGGCAATCCTGCCATATAGACCCTTAAGTAGCTCCTGTTATTTTTGCAAATAAATGATATGTGATGACCAGAAAAAAATTAATTAAATATGTATATCAAAATGTAATTAAAATCCATATATAGGGCTTATGCCAGGCTCCTTAGGAGGAAATTTCTTTGTTTTTATATATGTTGTATTTTTCTAAGACACAAAAAAGCATATTTGACGAAAAAATCGAAAGCGGTTAGTGAGATACAGTTTTTTTTAAATATTTAAAAGCTGTAAGGAAAAGGTCCGTAACTCCCTCTTTCCCCCATTTTTAAATAATCAAAAATCCGTATCTTATCAGCCACTTCCGAGTGTTTTGTCAAATATGTTTTTGTGTCTTAGAAAAATCAGTTCTACAACACTACAAAAATAATTTTCATCTGAAGCATATGTATATAATTTTCTTTTTTTCTCCATTTCACAAAAACTAGGCTGTGTTCGAGCTTCCTTAACGTGACATAGTGATACCTACTGGCACTGACTTCTGTGAGACAATTCATAATAAAGCAAAACACAGGGGCGGATCTGGGTTCAATTTTAGGTGTGGGGGGGGGGGTCTGAATGTTTCCAAACCCACAAAATGAAAGGGGGTCCGGGAAAATTTTGATTCCTAGATGGCGGGAAATGAGTTTTCCTGACTTCTGCGGTGTCTTTCAATAACTTTTAAGTTCTTCAAAATTCAACGTTTTCCCCCTCTTGAAAACGGTCAGGTAAATTTTCTCATTCTTATTACAGTAAATAGGCATAGAATGTCAATTTCAAATGAAAAAAAAAACAAAGGAAAATTATAATTAGGTCTGAGAGTGCCATTTCCGGCAATCTAGAAGTGTCATAATCATAAATTTTCTTTCCTCAGCCCCAACCATGGTGATCTACTTTCCCAACGTGCAAGTCCCTCCCTGTTCCCCCCTCTAATTTGCTTTCCTGGAGACACCACTAATAATGATAAATTAAGTAAAACACCTTTATGTTTGTGAAATCAAAATGCTAACTAATGTTTTGTGTGCTCCCTATCTACCTAGTCCTGTTTGATCGTAAATTAGACGGTATTATTTCCATTCACAATAGTTTAGTCGAAATATTACATACACAAAAGTGAAATTAAAAAGAGGAGAAAAGCAAAAACATCTTGATTGATTTTAAAAGTACTGTATATGCAAAAGACTAAATTAATGACTGTTTTAAGTGTATCTTATTAGTTTTTTATAGTTCGAATTTTGAATGCGTTACAAGCTAATCAGTAGATAATAAATCATTATTTTTATGAATGTTAGTTTGCACGAATATATCAGCGGGCATAATTATGACAAAAAGGATAATTTTACAAAACTTTTTATGATGAGTATTTCAGTGGCAGATTCAAAGGGGCCCAGCCGGCCCACCATCCCTATTTTTTTTTCGAAATACTAGAGGAAGAGAAAAGTAAAAATTATATTCAAATTCAGTCTGAGAGTGCCATTTCCGACCAACTAGAGGTGACATAATCATAAATGTTCTTACCTCAAACCCAACCATGGTGGGGCTGAAGTGATAGTCTACACTCTCCATTTTGCAAGTGTTTTCACACTCATGGAATATTAAGTACATGTTCACGACAGATTGGGCAAAATGGCACATAAAAGCCCCCTAACACAAATCCAGGTACACAATAGTTGAACCAACTTTAAAATACCACAAATACAAATGTGCGTGGCGATATTTTATTGCTTTAGAAATGTGATTTAAAAAAGTATAATAGTGAATCACGCACTGAGTATTCAATATATTTTCACGACAGGTTGGGCAAAATACATATAGACCCCCTAATTGATTCTCCTGACGCAAATCCAGGTATTGTCTATCGTCACGAAAATAACATTTACCATTCAATAATAGAACAGTCATCGACCTACTTGAAGTGAATTGAATCTAAAATGTATTCATGATGTTATGATGATCTGAAGTGTTTAAAAACGTATACAATAATAGTTCAATCAACTTTAATACCACAAACACAAATGTGCGTGACAATATTTTATTGCTTTAGAAATGTGATTTCAAAAAAAGTGCATCGTATACGTAAGCGCTTGTTTTGTTGTTGTTTTTTTACTTGCAGCGTTTGGGAAATAGGTAATAGGTAAATTGTAATGAATATAATAATATATATCATCTAAAACCTATTATTATTGAAGGGTCCCTTTAAAGTTTAAATAGGATTTTTTAAAGTTATATTTTTAAATCATTAGACCTATTGAACGAGCCCCCAATAGCCCCGGGCCCCAGTGCTGTGCACTGACTGTACTGTCCATACCTCCACTGGACCTAAGTATTATTAGTGGTTACATAACGTTTGCATGCACCGTATCATGCGTTATAGTGGAAGACCATAATGTATTGGAAATGTACCTCTCTCTCTCTTGTAGGGCCTGTACAATCAGTTTAAAAGTGTAAGGTTATATATGATAGTGTGGATTTAAACATTTTCCTAATGGTAATGTTCAAAATAAGTGTCAAGGAAAGTAAAGTATGATTGTTGGAAAAATTGGTCAACATTTCATTTTGAATTCTCACCCTGAACTTCGCCTGGGTGAAGTGGGCGAAGATCTGGATCCGCGTCTAGTTAGCATGAATTTTGTAAGTCAGGACCCATTATAGTAGTATTTTGTTACGTTTCTTCACAGAGGGGGTTCGTCCGAACCCCCTGAACCCCCACCTGGATCCGCCACTGAAGATGTACATTGTGGATGCACCCCCTTTTTGTGTGCCACCGATATAAAGGTGTAATTTCCAAATAAATACTTACTACTTTCTTATAATATCGTATAGTGTAATTCATGAATTAACAGCCTCCTGTAATATTTAATTTAATCTTTTTAGCAGTTGAATTTCATGCCCTAACTATATTTATAAATATTTTTTTTAATGATTTCATTACTTTTTATATCCAATTTCATATTATATATACTGTAATAATTTACCATTTTTAAGCAGTTCTTTAATTAATCATTGTCGATAGACAATGATTAATTAAAGAATGATTAGACGGAGAGCCCCCCCCCCTGAAGTATTCTTCAATGAGGCAATCCTGCCAGACCCTTAAGTGGCTCCTGTTATTTTAGCGAAATAAATGATAGGCCTGTGTGACGACCAGCAAAAATTAATTAATTAATTAACTATCAAATAAGCCTAGGCCTCTAAATATCAAAATGTAAATGTAGGCCTAATTAAGATTAGTTACGGTACTCGTATTAGTTTCGATTACATCTAGGTCTATAGTATGCTGTTTGTTACTTAATTTCTGTGGAAAAAACGATAATAAAACAACAACATATCCTAGTATTTTTCCTTGAATTTTGCAAAGAGAAACAACAACAAGTTATTTTCGAGATCATAATCAAATAAAAGAAGGCCTATTTTTCGACATTGTCGTTTTACCAACTTAGATGACTACATATGAAAAGTGTAGGCTGTGGCACCGAGACCTCTGATGATTAGTGCCCAAAATTGTTTACAAAAGCGTAATGCAATAATAGCATATTGACTACAATTGTATATTTTTTCGGAAATAATTTCAGCCACTCCAAATCTCTTTCCTTTTCTTCCTTCTTCCTTTATTCTTTCACAATTTTACGTTTTATTCATATTTTCCATAATGTTATACGCTCACATGATATAATCACTCGTTTAGACCTAGCCTAGGCTAGACCTCGGCTATGCCTACTATATTATTTAAAATATACAATGTTTAATTGATAAGATTAATTTTACATGGATATAGTAATTCATACCTAAATAATACATTAAGTTTAATTATAAATACTGTATAATGACATACCGTAACAAATAAATAACAATAATTTAAACGTGTGCACAGTATCTACCACTACAACAATGATAAGATTAATATTTTTTAATCTTATAATCAATTTTATATAGCCGGAGTTAGTTTCGATCTGGGCAAAACCTTTGCTAATAGGTAGGCCTACACTTTCTCCATCAAAAGGCTTCTTCTATGAATGGAATTACTTTTCTTAGTTATTTTGATTTGCAGTGATGTCTGAGGTGCACTTCATTGGTAGGCAAAATATTTTAGTTACAAGTGTATCTCATATTTTTGTTTTATTAATTATTGAACATATTTAAACAGGATGAAATATCAGGAGGGTGTTACAACCTGTTTTATGGTCCTCTTTTACGTAATACAGAATTAAAATATAAAAATCAACAAGTTACAGATTAATGATATTGAAAAGAGACTTAATTACAAATTATTAACAGCTATAATCTACAATTAATACGGAAATACATAGGATTTTGTTAAAATCATCAAAAAAGTTCTAATCACAATGTCATTTTTGTTGTGTCAGTACGTGCCAGCAAAGAACAAGGGGAATTTCCAGTCAGACTGCCCTGGAGCCCCTAATTGCCTCCAAATAACGCCAATCCCTAATATTGTGGGCAAAGCAGAATTTTGAGGCATATATGCAATAAAAACTCATAAACCCAGCTACCAGGAATTTTTATTGACCGAAGCTCTAGTGAGCCCCTTGGTTCGGACCCTGATATTGGATATGGGCGACCCCCCCCCCCCCTTCATCGTCAGCAAATTTCTAGAGCCAAAATAATGGTAATGACAGGAAGTGTTGTAGTTCACATAACAGCCATCTTCCCACTAATCTTTTCACTACTATACACAAGTTTTTATACCTAAATCTACATGGCTGTACAGAGTATGAACTCATGAACACACTTGATAAGAAGTTCCACATTTACAGTGAAATTATGGGGCACTTCAGGGTTGTAGCTGTAGAAAACTATGGGTGGGTGATTTGTGAACTTGCTAAATAATAAGAGGGAATTTTAAGGATTGAGAAGTGGGTTGATAAGGGTGGGTGGAGGACCATGAAATTAGTTTTAGATTGGGTGGAAAACTTCAAGGCTGTGTGGCCCTGCCCACCATAGGTACATCTCTGGCACTTATTTGAGTATGCCTTTATATCCATTTTACACCAAAAAAAAAAAAATACAAACAAATCACCTCCATCAAGTAAACGCCTTCCTCAAATAAACGCCTCCTCAAAACCCTCCTAAACAATAAACGCCCTGGGGCGTTTTATAATACGGTATTAGGAAACGATAAATTAGTGCACTCAAGTTAAGCCAATGGACACCCGGTGTTTATTTATCATAGTCTCTGTGCCAAGAATGCTCTCAAAGGGTTGTTTTTATTCACAGTATGCCCAAAATGCCACTGATATTTATTTCATCAATAATTTACTTTACAGTCACAAATTTTGTTGAAGAGTTTGTCATTTTTGGGGTTGGATACAAAATGTTAAAAACGGAGCAATTAAAGCAAAAGTAAGACTATAGGAATCGATGTTACCCTTTTATTTTATTCTCATTGGTTTAATGATTTTGATGATGTGTGGTTTTTTGCAGTCCCTATTCCACTCAACAAGGGCTACAACGAAAGACTACTTTCTGGCTGGAAAGTCCATGTTCTGGTTACCGGTGAGTATGCACTAATTATGTATTTATTACTTATTTCCCCCTCCCCCTCCCACCAAGAAAAAAAAAAAAAAAAAAATGGAGAAAAAATTGTTGAAGAAAGAACATTGAATCATGAGATAAGTTGCAAACCAAAATATTTAAAGTACCATATATACTCGCGTATAAGACGAGGCTTAAAATATAAGCACAACATATTAAATCATTTTCATCTTGTGTGCGAATCGTCCGTAATTTACTACTGCAGTGAAGCTACTAAATTTTAGTATGAATGAATGCAATTTTAAATATGGGGAAATAAGATAGAGTATTGATAAACATTTAAAAACTCATAAAATGGTATTATTTTGGAAGATTAGCTTTGCATTTGGCTCCATTTTTAGCCAGCTAGATGTAGTATCGAGACCATAAAAGGAGGAAAAAAGTAGGAATTCCGACGATAAAACGAAGGGGGGGGGGTCGTATTATACGCCTGACATACAAAAATCGTCTTAAACTTGGGGGTCGTCTTATACGTGGGTCGCCTTATACACGAGTATACAGTATTTGAAAATGCACATTCTAAAAACACAAAGAGAAGCTAAATTCTGTGTTTTTTATTAGGACATTGTAGTAAAACAAATAATAATAAGATAAATGCCTCTGCAATATTTGTTGGTTTGTTGTGTGTGTTAATTGCCTGGGACTAGCATAAGAATTTCTTCGCGGTGTAAACAAAAGTTTTGTGTGAGCTTTTTTGCAAACAACCTGCAAAAATCCTTACGCACTGTATCAAATAAGTGCCAACTCGAGGATAGCAAAATTATGCGGAAATAATGATAAAGCCACGACTGACTTACAATTTACGTTATTTAATTCTACAGGTTGGTGCATCCTTGTTTGCTAGTAATATTGGAAGTGAACATTTCATTGGTCTTGCTGGGTCAGGGGCAGCTAGTGGCATAGCAGTTGCAGCATTTGAACTCAATGTAAGTCTACAGTAAGTTGGGGTGGGTGTGGCTAACAGTTAATGTGTTCTACTTTCTGAGATTGGCCAAAAGTTTTGATGGGTTTTAGTTCCCTTGTGTGATAAAAAAGGGAGTGGGGAAATCTGTTGCTGTGTTTTTGTTTTCAGTAGTCAAAATAATAATTCTTTATTGGTCCCCAGAAATCGGAAATTTGGGCTGGGCCCCTAGGGGCCCGTGGCAGCTGCAGTGCAGTGCGACCCGGCTTAAATACAACATATAGCCCGCTTAACTCTCCTTAACTACAACATATAGCCCGCTTAACTCTCCTTAACCTGCCTAACTACAACATATAGCCCGCTCAACTCTCCTTAACCTGCCTAACTTCAACAAATAGCCCCCTTTACTCTACTTAACCTGCCTAACTACAACATATAGCCCGCTTAACTACAACATAGCCCGCTTAACTACAACATATAGCCCGCTTAACTCTCCTTAACCTGCCTAACTACAACATATAGCCCGCTTAACTACAACATAGCCCGCTTAACTACAACATATAGCCTGCTTAACTCTCCTTAACCTGCCTAACTCTCAATATGAGGGTTATTCGAGGAGCCAAGCAATCAGACTCCAATTAAAACCTGATGCTTGCCAGGGGTTGAAGCATCAACAATAGTTCTCAGCCAACTGCTCAGCTCTAAATAAATAGAAAGCGAGAAAGAAAGAAGGGTTGGTTAGAAGGGGTGGGGCAGCTGCCGTTATATTTTGGTTTCCATGGTACTCATTGTAAATGTGCCTGTCTTTATTCTTTTAGGTAATGTTTTTGTTTTTTCATTATTCTTATTAAATTTGATTTGTGTTTTTATAGGCATTATTCCTGCTTCAGTGCCTTGGGTGGATATTCTTACCTGTGTACCTTGCTGCAGGTGTATACACAATGCCAGAGTACTTGCGTCGACGGTACGGCAGTAACAGGATTCAGATGTATGTTGCTGTTTTAAGCTTGCTGTGGTACATTCTCACTAAAATATCGGTATGCTCTCTTATCAATTATGATACACTAATACATTTTTAATTAATAATAAGCAATTGCTATAGTTGTATATTGGGAGACAAATGTACAGAAAGGCAATTTCTCCTAACTACCAATTTTCCAACGAAGTATATAGAAATTGAATACTATTAATTCATGATATTGGTAATGATAATGTATAGTAGTCATTATCATCATCATATACCAATTGGAGTAAGGACAAAATGTTTGTGCAAATTTACTGTCCAGATGCATGCACAGTTCTTTTTGCGATTACAGTAGTAGGTTCATAAAGAAAAATTTTTTTTTTTTGCCGTCATTTGAAAAATGACATTTGGCCATCTCATAGGTTCAAGGTCTGATTAGCCTCCCCAAAGGAGCGAAGCTCCTGGGAGGCTATTGTTTTTGTCTTCTTCATGCTGTTGTCATTGTCATTGTCATTGTTGTCAATGTTGTTGTGTAAATTGTTTGTTACCACGATAACTAAATTTTGGTAAGTCTGTGTGTGAATATGCTGGTTGCTCATTTGCATAATTAATATTTCATTGATCAAGAAATTTGCACTATAACTAAAGTTTGGTAAGTCTGATTGGTTTCAAACTTCATGGAATGAAGATTGTAATAAGAAGACAGACGCCTATTGTTTTTGGTACGTGTGTGATTATGCTTTGCATAAGTAATATTTCACTAATGAGGAAATTTTTTGCTAAACCATCATAATTCCCACAAAAACTTCTAATTTAGTTGAAATTGTAATATTCTTCATGTTGTTGTCATTGTGTTGTCACCAGTGTAGAAAATTGTTTGTTACCACGACAACTAAAGTTTGGTAAGATTGATTGGTTTCAAACTATTACTCATCAATTCTCAGAGAAAAATCACAACGTGGGGAGGCAATGCTTTTACTGTGTAGCGTAAAAAAAGCATTTCTAGTTAAGGTATTGTCTTCATACCATTAACTTTGTATGAACTAAAATTAGCAGTATTCTAATTTTGTGGGGTGGTTGTTGTATGATTTAGTTTTTTTTTTTTTCACTAGGTTGATCTGTACTCTGGTGCCTTGTTCATTAAGGTTGCATTTGGTTGGAATATCTATGCATCTGTTGGAATCCTTCTACTTGTAATTTCAATTTTCACAGTTGCTGGTAAGCCGGTTATCATTAAATATGGCAAGAACATGTCTAAGGCTACTCACAATAAATTCAGTTCAGTGAATTATAATGTATATATAATCTTATAATCTGTCTAATTTCCAGTTACAGTATAAGCTATACACTTAATTAATACAAATTACTTGGTAATTTACTCCGATATTGACTTTTACTTTATTAGCTCAAAACAGACAGACAGAGTATATCTTACTTAATAATTATAGTTAGACATATAGGCGCATAATGTTTAAATCAATCAGAATCATTTAAATAAATCTGGTATCATTGATAATAATATTGTGTTCAAATTATACTACGTAAATAATGTCTTTATTTTGTACAGGTGGGCTGGCAGCTGTTATTTATACCGACACTTTACAAGCCTTTATCATGGTAATAGGAGCAATTGTGTTGGCAGTAATTAGTAAGTATATAGTACCTTTAATTAAACGATATATTCAGTATTCATAATTTTATCTTGAATCTGGCAATAATACCAAAGGAATTTTATATAATTTTATCTAATTACAAAATAAATTTATGACATTGCATATATTACAATTATTGATTATTTTTAAAGGTTTTAACGAAATCGGTGGATATAAGAACCTAGAGCCTCGGTACGCAAGAGCTGTACCAAATGAAACATTATACGGGAACGACACGTGCGGTCTTCCCCGTGATGACTACTTCCATATCTTCAGGGATCCCTGGAATTCGGATATGCCATGGCTTGGGTTTTTCATTGGTTCCCTTCCTGCATCTTTACAATACTGGGCAATGGATCAGGTAGCTTAAGTTATATTTTTAAAATTAGCAAATAAAGAGTAAAATTATTATTATTATTATAAGCAACAGCTGGAGGAAGAACAATATCAAATTAATAAATAAACAACAAAGATTGTATACAGAAATAGTATAATATAGAATTATGGAGTACAATAAAAAAGGTAATAATTATAATAATAATGCTCCAAATTATATAGTGCATACTGTAGTAATCTGCCTCTACATACTCCAATCTACAGCATTTTCATTGCAATCCTTGCACTGCTTAGCTGCTTTCGATGTAATCCAGAATGCTCCCTGATTCAAGTGACCAATCAGCATCCGACACCAAAGGAGTCAGGGGTCAACTTTAAAAGATGACATTTTACATATTTAGGCCTAATATTCAAGAATTTGGTATATATATTTATTATAACTAATAGGAAATTTTCTGCAAAAGCAAAATTCTGTTGTTGTATTATAAAATATTATAGAAATTTGTGTTTATGAATTTAGTTAAGTTCTATTAAAATTAATTAATATCTTTTCTTATTCTTAATTGAAAAACCTCTTGATTTAAAAAAATGTTTTCAGGTGATTGTTCAACGTGCCCTCTCTGCTAAGAATCTTTCCAATGCTCAAGGTGGTACACTGTTTGCTGGTTACCTCAAGATTCTTCCCATGTTTATCATCGTCATGCCCGGAATGATCAGCAGGATATTGTTTCCAGGTGTACATTTTGTTATGTTGTCATGGATTCTGTAATAATATATTTTAAAAAAACAAAGTTTATGCCCAATTTATGTGAGAACAAAATGTTTCATGCTTGAGATTTTAGCATCCCCTGCTAATTTGGATCTATGTGAATGCCTATCAGTGTACAATTAGCATGCGTCCCATTGAATATTCATGTATGAAAATGACATCGCAGAGCCCTGTAAAGCTCCTGAGGTATTCAGAAAACATTTGTGTGCATGTTTATGGGGTGCTGCTTATATTCATTCTGTGGCATCACACATATTATTACTACTTATCTGAGGGGGCTCACTCTTAAATATTTCTATATGGGGAGATGCGGCATTTACGAGGTATATTTTCAAGGACTTGATAGCCAAGTTTGGGAAATATGGGGAGTTGCAGCATATATAGGGTATATTTGGGAGGACTTGGTAGCATAAGTGTGGGAAATAACTGAGGTGAAATTAGTAGACAAAGTCCCTGTCACAATTTTTGTATGATTTTAGTGGGAATTTATCTAGACTGTCCAACTTTCAGAACGAACAGAAAACTATTTACCATCATGCGATGTCGTGTAAATGTCTGCACATAACATTGATTTAAACAGTTTTCTTGATGTTTTTGCTATTTTAAATTCATGCATGGGTTTTTTTTTTTATCCAGATATAGTTGCTTGTGTTGACCCTGATGTTTGTTATGAAGTGTGTCAAAGTACAGTGTCATGCTCAAATATTGCGTACCCTACGATGGTTGTAAAACTTCTCCCCTCAGGTACTCGTGAATACTAGACTATATAACTCCCATCCACAGACATACTTTTAAAATTTATCATCATTATTGTTATTATTATTATTATTATTATTGATGTTATTGTTATCATTATGCTGCTGCTATTATTTACAAATCTAAATAAAATTTAAACATTTTACTAGTTATATTTTTCAGTGTTGATGAATTATTTTCCAACCTGTAATTAAGTGTTTATTATTATTAATTGATGATTTATTGTATGTTTGTTTAGATTATTGTTTATTTTTGTGATTATAGGTTTAACAGGACTTATGCTTGCTGTTATGTTGTCTGCTCTTGTCAGTTCCCTCACATCAATTTTTAACTGTTCAAGCACTATTTTAACTCTGGATATCTGGCAGAAATTTAGACCAAATTCTACACAAAAAGAAAAAGTTCTTATTGGACGGTAAGTATATTAAAGTGACATAAATCTATCTAGTTTTATAGGCATACCAAAAAGCAAAAACTTAGTTTTATTAATATTTATTTTAAAATTATTGTTCAAAACCATTTTGTGGTATTGTTTAAGATAATGTCTAAGTCTTTTTGGAGAGAAACAGTATCAAGTGAACGAAAAAGCAGTGTAGTATCATCATAAAATGAACATATTATAGAGACTAACTATTAAACAAATTATTACTCAGCCAACTAAAACTACAAAATCTACATCAACACTTATTGATCATATTTATGTATCTTTTCCTGAAAATATTAGTGATTCAGGAGTACTTTATACAGGTCTTAGTGATCACAATATTATTTATGTAATTATTGGTAAAGAACAAAAACAACTTTATAAACACAAAATAAAAAAATGTAGAAATTATGGCAAACTTGATGAATTGCAATTCAAACTTGATTAGTGTTAATTGGTATGAAATCACAAATTTTGACAATGTTAATGATGCACTTAACGCCTTTGAGGATAAATTTCTTGATGTTATTAATAAACATGCACCTATAAAAAAGAAACAAATAAGAAACAAGAATAGCCCATGGATGAGTAATGAATTGATTAACTTTGAGAAAAAGAGATACTGTACATTAAAAAGGAAAGCTTGCAAAGAAAACACCACTTATATTCAGTGGGGTGAATGTCGTACTTTGAAAAACAAATGTAATGCAAAAATCAAGCTTGACAAAAGAAATTATATATCTTACCAATTAAAAACCAAAGATATGCAAAAGCTTTGGGCTAATATGAGATTTATTGTTCCAAATAAATGTAAAAACACCCACATCAAAAGTTTAAATGGTAAAGATGGTAATACTTCAAATCCTAATGAAATTGCAGCCACTCTTAATGAATATATTGCACTTGTTAGTCCAAAATTAGCTGAGAAAATTCCAAGATGTGAAGATGATATTACGATAAATTTAAAGTCAAATACTAATATACCTTGTTTTAATTTCACTCTTGTAAATTATGAATATATTTATGAACTTTTATCTAAGTTGTCTGATAACAAAGCAACTGGAACAGATGAAATTTCTGCCAAACTTATTAAAATGGCAATCAACGAAATTGCATATCCAATTACTTACCTTGTAAATATGTCACTTTCTACTAACACCTTCCCATCTAAATGGAAAAAGGCAAGAATTTGCCCAGTTTTAAAAATGGAAAAGAAATGAGCCCAATAATTATAGGCCAATTTCTGTCTTGCCAGTACTTTCTAAAATACTTGAAAAGGTTGTTTTTGACCAAATTTATCCCTTTCTTAACTCAAATGGTTTTCATTATGATCAGCAGTCAGGTTTCTGTCCAAATTTTTCTACATGCTATGCACTGCTTAAAATTACAGAGAATTGGATTGACACTATTGACTCTGGACAATATCTGGGTTTAGTCATGTTAGACCTTAAAAAGGCATTTGACACGGTAAATCATATTTTAATTGAAAAATTTTTCATTTAGTAAAGCTGTTATTAATTGGTTGAAAGATTATCTTAAGGACAGGTGTCATGTTAAAATATGAATGGTGTAATGTCAAGTGTTTGTAATAATATTTGTGGAATTCCACAGGGCTCCATTCTTGGAGCCTTACTTTTCCTACTATATGTAAATGACCTTTCAGAGAGTATTACAAATGTAAATATTATTATGTATGCAGATGATACCTACATCTCCTGACATTAATAATATTGTGAGGTAATTAATCAGGAGCTGAAAAATGTTCAAAAGTGGCTTAAAATGAACAAACTCAGTTTCTATCATTTATATATTTGTGTGTGTGTGTGTATTATAATA